CGGGAAAGGAATCGCGTTAATATGAGTAATAAAGCGTTCTGGACCAGCAAAAGAACAACGAGGCGTCCCACAAAGTGAAGAGCGCAACGAGTGGGTCGTTCAATGCTCCAACCCATTACAAAAGCTTGATATTGATCGCCTATTAACTGTGGTGCATACACACTTCAGGCATGATTCCTGATTGTCGTCAGCCATTGCATGAACAATTGGCACAAAATTCCTGGCAAGCGTTTAGCGGACACAATGCTTCTCGGAAGAATGACGAAAAATAGCATATATGCTGGTCTATTACCCACAAATTATTATTAATAATGCCGTAGTGGGTAACACAGCAAGTGTGCTTGCAGAAGTTACTCAATGAGTGTTTAGAAAAGGCTCTGAATGGCCGCTCTTTTAGCTCTCACTGTGACTGTGCTGCGCCTTCCGTGCAGGCCTGGCGTTTTCTATTTATTGTACTTTTTCACAAAGAGCTATATCTTAAAGCCATTATTTATTGATCAGTCACGTGTTTTTCCTTCCTCTTCAACCTTTTCGACTTTATCTTTTTTTCTTGACGCAGAATTGATGCTTGATTGATTGATTTGTGGGGTTTAACGTCCCAAAATCACCATATGATTATGAGAGACGCCGTAGTGGAGGGCTCCGGAAATTTCGACCACCTGGGGTTCTTTAAAGTGCACCCAAATCTGAGTACACGGGCCTACAACATTTCCGCCTCCATCGGAAATGCAGCCGCCGCAGCCGGGATTCGAACCCGTGACCTGCGAAACAGCAGCCGAGTACCTTAGCCACTAGACCACTACAGTGGGGCGCAGAATTGATGCTTACTTGTAGTCATTTCCTGCTAGATGGCGTCTTGTCAGTTTATTTGATGCGCAGCTGGTGCTCTGCACTCTCCTATTTATGCGCTCTTCCATTCAATACAATGTCAGTCGCTAGTATGCGCATGTTCCCTTTATTTATCGTCTCCGTCATTGTTGCGTTATGGCAGACCATCAAAATGACCCAATTGAGTCTAACCTAGCCTATAGTCAAACGTAAGTTGACCAAATTTAACCCAACGGTGTTGGTTTAAGAGAAGCTGAGGTAAGCCTACAACAGAAAAATGTGCATCTTCAAAAATGTGCATGATGGCTCTTGTCCTTCGGCACGGTGGTACAACGATCCGTAACCATAACGCCAGGCGACCGAGAGAAACGCGACACGCCGTGCTTATCATTGAACATCCGATTATTTAGATGCCTTGCCTGTAGCTAAAAGCGAACGAACGGAAACGCAGAAAAGGCTCTCAGCACAATGTGCACGTACGTATTTGCGTTCGTCTCAGATCCATTTTCACAAAACCCGCTGCCCATCAATGTTTACGTGCTATGGGAGTGAATGTTACTACGACGGGGCAGCTAGTGGGTTTGTTCGAGTGATGGATGGTCTACTCACTCATTTTTCAGCCTTGCCGGATAAGTCTGGGTGGCAGTGTAAGGGCATTGTTATGTTTATACGAATGACGCGTGTGGGCTTTCTGCTAGGCATCAGTGTTCACGTCCTATTGACTGAGTGTATTATAGCAGACATGACGCGACTAATGATGCCGACAGAGTTGGTGGGGTATGGCGTAGGTTGCACCCGACCGTGCGACGGGTAGGACTGTCGAAAACGAAGAGGCGGGAAAGCTTGAGTTTCACTATACGTGTGCCTATGTAAATGAATAAACAACAATAAATGCTTCGCATAAGAATCGCACGGCAGCTTTAAGCTACGAGCTCAACAAGAAGCGATCGATGTATACGCAAAGGTAAAGCGAGGGTGGTTTACGTATGGCAGTGCTGGTCACACACGTGCTTGATTCCTGTTTGTTGATATCCGTTGTCTCAACTAGCAATTTCTTTCTATACTAATAAATGTGAGCTCTGTGTAAATTTCGGCATTTTATGTTTCTGCACCTAATTTGAACGTAGAATCAACCGGTTGTTATGTCCTCGACTTTGATTCATTTTTTTTTGAAGGGTGGAAGGTTCGATTCTTCATCGAACTTGAAAATTGACCACAGGCGTCCCGCGTTGGCGGCGTCAACACAAGCAAAGGGAAACAAAAATCATCATTGAGCAATCACGCTGTCACATGACGTCATCATGATGTCACAAGTCCCCTAAATTTGTGAAGTCACCGTGGCGTCATTAAACATGACGTCACGCTATGATGTCATGTGATGACGTCGTCGCTTGGTGAAAAGTGGGCCGATCACGGGGATGTGCGAAAAGCTCGCAATGCCTCCAGTCCTGAAGGCCATGGAAGATTGCGGTATGCGAAGATAGCGTTCGGAGGTGTGCGGAGAAGAATCAATGCATCAACTGAGAAGAGGAAGAGGATGATGATAGAGACGACGATGAAGAAGAATGAGAAAGGGAAGTCGAAGAAAAGAAGCTGGTGATGATTATGACGACGATGATGATGATGATGACGACGAAGAAGAAGAAGTAGAAGGAGGAGGGGGAGGAGGAGGAAACGGAGGGGGAGGAGGAGGAGGCTTTTGATTTTTACTCATCTCGTGTGAATGCAAAGGGGACATTGTGAGCTTTTTTCAAATTTAAACATCTCATATATGCGGTCATCTTCGGCAGTTTAGAAAGTCACTAACTGATTATCCCCACTGCTTCGGCAGCCAGCTTTCAACTTAAATTATCGGCCTGTTGTAAAACACGCCAACAACATCGACTGTACAGCTCGAATGAATACAGTTGCGAATTGCCGAGAAAGCCAAGTATTTCTCCGACCTATAGTGGTTTCTAAACTTTTCAACCTGGTACACCCCATAGCAAGGCAGCATGTACGAGCACATGGCTGTAGTCGCATCCGCTACTGAGGGGGCTGGGTTGCGCTTATGGAGAGGAATGTCTGCGAGAAGACGCTAGCTAACGAAGCCCCGCATAGGGAGCCTTCAAACGCATGCAAAACTCTGGGGCTCAGGCTTGAACGCGAAGGCTCTCCAGCGAAGTCAAGGTGCTACAGCAAAGTTTGTGAGGGTAAGCGCGATGTGAAGTGGAATGTTCTCAGAAACTTCGCCCGAGCGTAGCAGGCAAGGCGGATGTTTCGATCGTGCTCGAATCGATGTCCTTTAGCGCACCGGATGTGTCTACGGTACGCAGTAGCGCGCGCGGAATTTCACCGCCGCGGGACGGGGCGAAATGTACGTTAAAGCCTGCTACCCTCTTCGTGGTTTCGGGTGACGGCTGGGAGCCTAGAGTATGTGGTAAATTAAAAGATACATGCATATGCACTTACTACGTGTTGATACTTTGCGACGTATAGTGGCAGGTCACATGCTTTGGAAAGCCGCCGCAAAGTTTGGTCGTGTCTTTTCGTGTGAAACCTTTAAGCTCGGAGGCCACTGTCTAAACATAATATCGGGGTCTACCTTATCTGAAACAACTTTCCCGCGGTGTTTTGAATTTTAGCGTTTTGATACTCAAAAAAGTTATGAACTTCGAAGTTCATGGCAGTGGTAACTGGCACCATATTGCCAATTTTCGTTTTTTGAGACTCAAAATATTACAGCATATATCCACGGAATGAATGATGATGAGTGGGGCGAAGCGTGTGTCAATCCGTCCATGCTTCTGTCCGTGCTTCCGTCCATCCGTACGTGTGCCCACTCGTGCGTCCGTCCGTCAGTGCGTCCGTGCGTCAATCCATCCGTACGTGCGCCCCTTCGTGCATCCGTTCATGCGTCTGTCTGTCTGTCTGTCTGTCTGTCTGTCTGTCTGTCTGTCTGTCTGTCTGTCTGTCTGTCTGTCTGTCTGCCTGTCTGTCTGTCTGTCTGTCTGTCTGTCTGTCTGTCTGTCTGTCTGTCTGTCTGTCTGTCTGTCTGTCTGTCTGTCTGTCTTTTCTGTCCATCTAGTGAACACTTCAAGTACCGCCATCTCACTTTTTTTATCAATCATTCATAATATGCAATTACCGCCATTCAACGGGCAATCCAAAGACTAAACGAGAGTATGTAGGACATTTCTGCTGTAAGTGCTTTTTTAACATCGAGAGCGTGATAATGACGCCGTGCTGCGGTTTTCGTAACATGTGGACATGCGGATACGTGCCCGAGGGTTGGTATGTGCCAATGGTATGCGGGTATGTGCCACAGGTTACGCACTACGACAACAGGGGACGCCCAAGCCATGCCATAAGAAGCTTCGGCCCCCCCAAAAATGTTATGAGCTTCGAAGTTCACGGCAGTGGTAGCGGGCGCCATATTTCCAATCGATTAGAAACTAAAAAAAGAACAGCGTGATAGAGACACAGGCGTATACAAATAAATGTATATGTTGCTTTGAATATCAAGGTACAACAACAAGCCCTAAATGCGTCTGTGGGACGTGTAACGTGCTGTCGGCATGCTGCGTTATCATGTGTGTGCGCATTACTCTATATCCGTCCAGCGTGTTCTCTGTTTCAGCGTGAACACGCGTCAGTGGTCGCCGTTATGACAGCAAGTGCTTGCGCGTTTATGCCGCGACGTTGGGGATCACGGGCTCACCTTCGGAGAACCTTTAGGTGGGTGGGCTGCCACGTGGTTTCGGCATTCTGAAGTTAAGGATTTTCACGAATGCTGGTTCACGAATTCTGCATTAAATATGGGCGGTAAGGAGTGTGAGGGCTGGTGGTGGCAAAGTTTGAACACGGCACGTCCTGTAGAAGAGGGAGAATGGGCGAGAGTCTAGTATGAAAGTTCAGTCAACATGGCCCAACTTTCTTCCGGTGATCTATTCTGGGCGACTTATGGAAGTGCAGATTCATGTCACCTTTTGGTGGATCGGTAGGGGGTACGATCTTAAGTACACATCCGGGTGAAGAAAAACGGAAAGAAGAAAGGCAAGGTGATGTGACGAGCGTTGGGCGGTGTTCTGGGAGTTCATCACTCTGTTATGGCGTATGGTATGCGTGGGTGTCTCTTGCAGAAGAGTGGTTTTTCGAGAAACTCATCCGCTTTTACGAATGTTTCGTTTTAGGACCCGGACCCTGGAGAAGGCATCGCCGGGCAGCAGCAAGCAGAAGGCAGTGAAGAGCCTGCGCTCCAAGGGCAGGGACCTCTCGTTGGTGAGTCGCCAGTTTCTGCATGCTTTCCACCCCTCATGAAGCATCCCGAAATCTGGCCGCGTTTCATCGTCCTCTTTCCTTTAGCGAATTTGTTATTTTGGGAAGCTGCTCCCTGACGTTCTACAGCGAAGCGTTAGATGGACACGTTCCGACGAATCACATACGCGAACCGACGACGCGCAAAAAAAAAAAAAAATGCGCCTTTCGCTTTTTTGACGCACGCTTTCCTCGTGTTTGGCCCTCTCCCCATCAGTTGCATCTCGCCCCCCGTCACCGCCAATTTCTTTCGCACAAGCGTTGCGATACTCGGCGGCTCCACTTTCCACCAATCGTTGCGCCGCATTTGTTTTTTTTTTTTCATACAAGTACCTGCAGCGCCACGAGGTCATTATTGCAGGTGGGTGGGGGAACACGATATAAAATATTCACGTAAAAGAATATACGTTTACACAAAGACAAAGATAAAAAATAAGCTAATAACAAAGCGGTGTATGCAACAATACAAAAATACGTCATACAATTCAGGCACAATCTCATCAAAAGAAGAGATCTAGCTGTCGCTATCGTTGTCAGTTACCCCTCTGACATGCTCTGGGGCGGAAATGTTTCATTTGCTCGAATGAAGAAGAGCCGGAACTGAAGTAAACGACGTAAAAATACAGCCGCTGGATTATCTTCACCGTGGTGAAAGTGCTTAGTTGTTTTTTTGTTTCTTTATTCTGTAAATATCTCAAACTTTCATGAATTGTTTCTTATGAAGCTCAGTCGAACAATTGGAGGATCACCAGAGAGCTTCAAGCTTTACGATTTGGATCACAGTAGAAGAAACCTTTCACGAATAAAAGACGAAAGTATTGTTCTGTCCTGCAAGGCATTCCTCCTTCTACAAAATCTAAACTGTTAACAAAGTCTGAGCCCACTCTGACAACCTTCTATGAACTGCATAAGGATTATGTTCACATAGTAACGATTAAAAAAGGCTAATCGTCCATTGCTCACAGAAGATGGGGTGGGCGATTTCATTTTCAGCACGTGTATGTATACCTTGTAAATAAGGCTGCTCTATACAAGGTATCTCTGATTCTGTCGAAACTGACGTAAGGCAATGATCCTTTTGAAAAATGAAACGACGGTTCGATAACCTCTCCTACATGTACTACTCATCGACAACTTTTCTTGGCAATAAAGAGAAAGCTGTGGGGGCGGAGCTACTGCACATGTACTCCTACGCGTATACTAGTCTGGTTCAGCTAGCCTTAGGATGACGGGCCAGGTTTGAACAACAACATTGCATAAATTTGCCTTCTCGCTTAGACAGCTAGCTATCCGTGAGTGCAATTAGTCACAATCATCTTCGGCTTGTCGATGAAATAGCTGGAGGGCGATGAGCGTTCACTTAATTTCACTGTGAGGTGCACGTAAACATGCGAAGTTTTCATATTAGCAAAAATGTGTAATAACACTGCATAAATAAAATTGAATACGGATCCCCCCTTGCTGCGTACAGCATCTAATTATAAACAGCATCCCGTAGAAAATAATATCTTTCATGAGTTTCACGTAAGAAACGCGGACTCTAGCTGGGTCGATATTCTTCAGCGGTGTCACATGTCCAGTTTTGCTTCGTAGTCTTCGCTCCAATGCAAACAAAATTGTCCGCGAGTATAGCACACCGTATAATGGTATTGTGTGAATTGTTTCACTATAGGTATGAAAGGCCCGTAAAAGCACACCATCATGGCGGTCTTCCAACTTATTCGCAGTATCGTCTGTGAAGACCCGAATTTTATAGGAGCAGTCATAGAGAAAAAACAAATTCTGGACCATTTCCCCGCAAGCAACCCTGATGGGATGTGAAGCAGCAGTGCCGCGAACGGCATTGACCCAGTTGAAACGGGCGTTGACGCGGGTGCTCGAGGAACGGTTTGAAGCGAAACTCGGTGTAGTGTTTACTCGACTAAACGTTTGTTTGAAACGCAAGGACATGGGAGGTGGGTTGGGTATCGTGTAAGTTTCATCGCAGATAAACAAGCCCAAAGCGTGTTTTCACTCGACGTGTGGTCGAGTGGTGTGGCTAGTGGAGATAGTGAAGCGAGATAGAAAAGTGTTGCGAGCTGACGATGGAGCAGGCAGCGGAGGGCGCTGCAGCGAGCGGGCTCCGGGTGAGGGAGAAAGTGGCGTCAGAACGCACCTGCCAAGGAAGCGTGCAAGGGGAGCGTGACGTCAACATGCAAATGTGGCGTGACCTACTTGGCCCCACTCCAGCACCTGCGGTGAGGTTAACGAGTTGCGGCGCGTTCGTACGGACGCACGTACGTATGGCGTTACACAAGTGCGTCAAAGAGCTGCTTCGCATCCGAAAATCACATCACCTCCCGCTAAACAGAACCATCTGTAGTTGCGAATCATTGGGGGCTAATGTCTATGTTGGCGGTGGCGTTGACGCTGGCGTACATCGCACCATTGCGCAGGAGAGAAACCTGGGGAGGCGCAAAGCAAGCAGCAATTGGCGGGCGTTTTCTACTGGAACATGCCATTCACTGATAATGCACAATGAGAGACAGAATACTCCAACTGGAGACATATACCCCCAGTCCGCTTTTATTTTAGTTAACGCGCACTCTGTGAATTTTTATTCAACAACGAAAAGAAGAAACCTTTCACCGGAACTACCTTGAAGGTCAAGATCCACTGCTTGTATATACGGGGTGATAGGTGACCAGTGAGCAGAGCTCAGCAGTAGGTTCTTTAAATCAAGAAACTAGCTTGCAGACGCTGCCTGCGTTGGCGTTCGGAGGCGAGAGATGGGGAATGTAGAAGAAGTTAGAGAGGGAGGGACGCACATGCGCAGTGCGGGTGGTCACACTGCGCACCGAATTGAAATCAACCGTTAGTTGCTTCACATCTAAAATATGCGAATTAATGTGTGAACATGTGAGCGCATCGTGCATGGAACAAGCACCATGATTTTGTGTCTAAATATGTGACTCCGCGACATACCTTAGTTTACAGCACTCATGGGCGTTGCAATATCAGAACTTCTCACTCTTTCTTCAAAGAAACTGCGCAGGCCAGAGCATCGTGACTGAATTTTTTTACGGCAATGGTAAACTGTCGTATGATTGTAGCTTTAAAAAATGCCATCGACTACCGTCACGCTGATCGTTTCATGTCGGAATTGCTCCGCTGAAGCGAAAACAGATCAATGCTTTCATTAGACAAGCTTCGAGTGCACCGAGATTGATGACAAGGTGTCAGATTTCATTAATATTTAATTTGATTGCAGTCCTACAAGAAATAATGTTAGCGCATGTAGAGTGGACAGGGGACAAGCGCTTGGTGTATTAATGTCTTTATCTTCTAAATAAAACGTAAGTTAACAGCCAGCGCTTTTCATGTGTATTACCAGGCTCGTGCTTACGTCCTCGTCTCTTCTGGAGGTATGCGTGGCATGCAAATTACGCATTCTCTGTGATCTCGGACGAGTTACGCATGGTCAGTTGCGCCTGGTCATCGCCGAGTAACTCAAGTGTAATGTTTGGCGTTTCCATCGTTACTTTATTTGTTATTGTGGTCTGCTGAGTGGTCGTTCAGACGCTGGAACATTCTTTGATCAAACTGCTTCTGTGTCCGTCTCTCACACAAGCTGAGTACATAAGCGCGATATTGCCCTTCACTATAGTCGCTAGTGGACCCGCGGCCTTCGTCTCGTCTCGTACTCAAATGATACATACAATATGGCAAGCTTGGTGTTCAATAAAACTTCGGCGAGTTTCCCCGACGAGGTTTGTAGCCGGGAACGACACAGTTATTATAACAAGGCTGCGGCACAGCAAAGCAAAACAAAACAAAACAAAACAAAAAGATTGGCAGAATATCCACGGAGTGAATCATGGAGAGGGGGCGAAGCATTCATCCGTCCATTCGTTCTTGCTTCCGTCCGTCCATGCGTCTGTCAGTGTGACCGTCCATGCGTCCATCCACCCGTCCGTGCGTGCGCATGTTCGTGCGTCCGTCCCTGCATTCGTCCATGCATCCGCCCCTGCGTTCGTTCATGCGTCCATCCATGCAGTGTGTTCTTTCGTCCATCTATTCAACACTCCAAGTACCACCATCTCGCATCTTTTCATCATATATTCCCCATATAGAAGCACCGTGATCCAGCGGACATTCCAAGGACTAAACGAGAGGTGGCACACGCACTTTCTTAAGGCTTGCGCTTCGGGTCTACTTCCCACCTTTAACCACCTCGAGATCATGGTATATACTAGTTCACTGTATTCATGGCACTGCGGCCCAATGCTCGCTAATGTTCGGCAATTACCCTTCACCACCGTAACCTTTTAGGGGCATCATTTCAAATCAGGTCCTAAAGTTCACAACCCACCCGTTCTTTTTTTTTTTTGAAAACAAAAGGTCAAACAAAGCAATAAACAAAGTCGGAAGTGCGTTTGAGGCTCGCTAGCATGAAGACTGTAGAGAAATCCATGTACCACACATCTTTCCCATGGTCGCTGAATGATCGCAGCACCAGAGTGCCCTAGAGTTAATTTTAGGAATCTCTAAGCCCGCTACGCCTTTTGTGAGCGAAGAATGAGCGAAACTAATCTGCGCGTGGCTTATACGGTGTCCATGAACACCATTCGCGCTGAAACGCGGCCGCAAAGTACGGGATGCTGACACTCCGACCGTGTCCTCAGTAGCTTACTAACAGCTCATACAGCAATCGTGGCTGGCCGCCCAAACTGTCTCGAGCGCCCGAAACATCTTCCTCGAAGACGGGCCTCTTCCCCTTTGCGTCCTGGCAGAGGTACAAATTGGGGACTCACATGCGGTGTATGACGGAGCCGTCGCGTCTTGCTTACAAAGGCGAACCCGTGTACTCGGAAAAGCCAGCAGCCGTTGCACGCCGAGACATCAACGTAAACATTCAGCACGCCAAGGCAGTGCGCTGAACTTGACTGCACAGGTGTTTCCTTTTTTCGTGGTAGTTGATCTAT